TTAATTCTATTTGTTCATTTGTTTGTAAAATATATTCTCTTGTGCCTTTTATGTTGTGATTTTCTTCCTTATCTATGTATAGGTTTTCTCCAAGTATCTTCTGCAGTGTTGGCTTAGTGTCATAAGTTGTTTTAGTTTCTTACCTTGGGAGATCTGAACTTCCCCATTATTATTATTTTTTTTTTAAACCAACTTTGTACTCATGGGGCATGGTGGCACATGCCTTTAATCCCAGCACTTGGGAGGCAGAGGCAGGCAGAGCTCTGTGAGTTTGAGGCCAGCCTCATGTACACAGTGAGTTCCAGCTGGGATACAGGGAGACCCTGTCTCAAAAAGACCAAAAAAAAAAAACAAAAAAACTTTTGTTCTGGGCAGGTGGAGGTGGATCTCTGTGACATTCAGACCAACTTGGTCTACATAGTGAATTCCAGGACAGCTGGGATTACAGGAAAACCCTGCCTCAAATTAATTATTAAATAAATAAATAAATAAATAATAGATAAATAGCAAAATAAACACTGTTCACTATAGTAATGTTGATTGGCAGCTATTTGCTCATAGGACTTATAGTATATTCTTCCAGACTTTCCTGGCTTTAGAATTTTCTGAGAGATCTGATACAGTTCTCATGACTTAGATGATTTTTCTCTTGTCGCTTTTGATATTCTTTGTTCTGTGATTTTAGCATTTAACTATAATGAGATGTGGAAAGACAGGGTCTTTCTGGCCATGTCTGTCTGAGATTCTAAATAACCTGTACTTGGATGTCCATATTTTTCCTGAGATTTGGGGAATTTTCTGCCATAATTTCATTGAATAGATTTTTAAATTTATTTTTTATTTTATTTGATGTGTATAAGTGTATTGCTTGCATGCACTTAAGTGCACCCATGTTGTTCAGTGCCCATGGAGGTCAGAAGAGGGCATCCAGTCCCCTATAACTGGAGTTATAGATAGTTGTTAGCTGCCATGTGGGTGCTAGGATCCGAACCATGGAAGTTATTAGCTTCCATGTAGGTTCTGGGATTCAAACCCAGGTCTTCTGCAAGAACAGCTGGTGTTCTTAACCACTGAGCCATCTTTTCAGCCTGACCAAACAGTATTTTAAAACAAGATTGTGGGGCTAGAAATTGTAGCTCAGTGGTAAGGTGCTTGCTGAGCATGTGCAGGTAGGCTCTTGGTTTAATGCCCAGCATTAAAAACAACAAAAACGAAACATCAACAACAACAACAAAAAAAAACAGGAGTTGCTGAGATAGCGCAGTAGTTAAGAGTTATGTAGTAGGGGCTGAAGAGATGGCTCAGTGGTTAAGAGCACTGACTGTTCTTCCAAAAGACCTGGGTTCAAAGGTTCCCAGCATCCACATGGCAGCTAACCACTTTAGGAAACTCCAGTTCCAAAAGATCTGACGTCCTTTCCTGGCCTGAGCAGGCACTGCACAACACAGGTGCACACATATACGTACATGAAGGCAAAACATTTATATACATAAATAAAAATATATTTTTTAACTGTTTGTTTTGAGACAGGGTCTCCCTGTAGCCCCAGCTGGCCTGGAACTCACTATGTAGACCAGGCTGGCCTTGAACTCACAGAGATCCACCTGCTTCTGCCTCCCAAGTGCTGGGATTAAAGGCGTGTGCCACCATGCCCAACCTATAAAAATAATTTTAAAATTAAAAAAGTGTACACTCCATACTCAGGTACTAAGGATCCGAGTGTAACCGACTGTAACTAGTAATAATCAGATACATGGAAATTAAAGACAAATGTAAACATCTAAGTGTTAGTAGCATTAAAAATGTAGGAAACAGCATATTTTGAAATGGAGATCCTCTTTTAAGGGTAAAAACTCATTCAATTTTATGTCTTACAGAGTTTATACTGAGTTCAATATTGTATAATTGTATTAATTCAACTGTGAACCTAACTATTTACAGCCACTTTTGAAAGCGATGTATCCTTGCTCTGGAATGTGTTACTATGTTAAAGCTGTAATGAAATACTTCTTCTAATGATGTGGTTATTAAATTTAAATTTTTTTTTTTTAAAAAAGTGTATACTGCTCTTGCAGAGGACCCAAGTTCAGTTCTCAGCACCGAATAACTGGCTGTAACCCCAGTTCCAAGGGATCTGATGCCACCTTCTAGACTCTATGGGCACCTGCACATATCTACACACAGAGACACACATACATATACATAATTAAAAAATAATAAAAATAGAGGCTGGAGAGATGGCTCAGCAACTAGGAGCACTGCCTGATCTTCCAGAAGACCTGGGTTTGATTCCCAGCACACACATGGGAGGCTAACAAGGACTGTTAAGGACTAACTCCAGTTCCAGGAGATCCAATGCCCTCTTTTGGCCTCCGTAGCAATTGCACACAGTGGCATTCTTACTTTCATGGAGGGAAAACACTTATACACATAAAATAAAAATAAAATTTTTTAATAAAAATAAATCTTAATAAAAAAGGCCATGTGTGCTGGTGCACGCCTTTAATCCTTGCACTTAATCCCAGCAGAGGCAAGTGGATCTCTGTGAGTTCAAGGCCAGCCTGGCCTACATAGCAAGTTCCAATCCAGCAAGGGCTACAGTGAGACCCTGTCTCAAAAAGACCAAAAATAAAAAGAAAAAAAAATTTTAAACAAAATCACAAACCTATACCCTAACTGGAAGACACGAGAGAAAGAGCAAAGTAAAACTAAATCTAAAGATGGCAGGAAGAAAATAATAAAGTACAATAGATATTTAGTAAACAGAAAAGAAAGGAAAACAACAATACAATAAAACCAAAGGTTAGATCTCTGAAAAGATCAATAACACTGGCAAACTTCAGCTACACTAACCAAGGAAAAAAAAGTAAATTGTGTGAAATTTAAAGTAAAATCAATAATAAATGCTAGAACCACTACAACCTTATAGAAATAAACAAGGACCCAACAGAAAATATGTTAATCAATAAGATAGCCTACACAAAGCAGAAAAATTCCTAGAAAGACTTAACCACCAAAACTAGCTCAAAAAGAAATGAGTTGAGAGTGGTGGTACCTATACACCTTTAGTTCCAGGACTCAGGAGGCAGAGGCAGGTGGATTGCTGCCAAGATGAAGGCAGCCTGGTCTACATAGCAAGTTCCAGGCCAGGTGAGGTTACAGGGAAACCTGTCTCAAAAAGAGCCCCCACACACACACAAAAAAAGACCCTGTCTCAAACAGATAGAAGTCTGAGGGTATAACTCAATGGTAAAGCATTTGCCTGTCATATGTGAGGTCTTTGCCTAGCACCATCAAAGAAAATCTGAACAGAACTACAAGATTAAATTAATAATTAAGTAACTTCAAATAGAGAAAAGGCTAAGCTCAAAAGGTTCCAAACAGCTCAGTAGTAAAGTAGCTACAGTATGGGTGGAGGAAGCAAATTCCAACATGTGGGCAGGTACACACGATTTTGCAAAGAGCCTAAAATGCACGCATCATGACATTTCCACTCTTGTGACAGGCCCTATCCCAAATCCTCAAAATACTTTGTTTAGCTGAAATGTCTTTTATGCTGAATCACTCTAAAACAGACAACAGGAGCTGGAGGTGTACCTCAGTGGTAGATTGGCAAGGGAGTACCTGGGTTTAATCGGCAGCAGCAAAAGAAAATTTCACTAGGTGAATTAAATCAAGCACTTAAAAAATTAGTATCGGTCTTTCACAACCTATTCTACCACATGGAACACTTTCTAACTCATTCCATGAGGCCAGGATTACCCTAATACTAACACTAACAAGGATATCACAAAGAGAAAAAAAGATAGACCGTATCTCTCATAAATATAGATACAAAAATTCTGAAAAAATACTACCAAACCAAATTCTACAACACCTAAAAATCATTATCAGCTATGACTATGTGGGATTACCTAATGAATGCAAAGTTGGTGTAACATAAAAAAATAACTAATAATACCTTACTAGTAAAATAAAAGACAAAAATCATACAATCATCTCACTACAAGCAGAAAAAGATTTGGCAAAAATCCAACAACCATTTCTGATACAAATCCTCAGAAAGGCAGAACGGAAGGAAACACCCTCAATTTGATGACCCCGCAGCTGACAGCTGAGAAAGATAGCCATGCACAAAGACAAACAGTCTACATATGCTCAGTGTCCAAGGACTGGCAGCTGGGAGAACTAGGAGTTCTGTCAACATTTAGGGGTTTCTTTTTGGAGTGACAAAAACATTTTAGGGACTGTTGGGATGGCTCAATGGGTAAAGGCACTTGCTACTAAGCCTGACAATGTCTTCTGACTTACACGTGCATATGATGACTCACACCTCCAATACACACACAATTAAATGTAATTTTTTTAAATTCTAAAATCAGATAGTTGTAATGACTGCACAACTCCTGAATTATACAAATAGTTTAAAAGGTTGACTTTTATAATATATAAATTATCTCTATAAAAGACTATTACAAAAATTCATGCTGGGTGTGGTGGCACATGCCTTTAATCCTAGCACTTGGGAGGCAGAGGCAGGCAGATCTCTGTGAGTTTGAGGCTAGCCTGGTCTACACAGTAAGTTCAGGTCAGCTGGGACTACAGGGAGACCCTGTCTCAAATAAAAAACCAAAAAAATCATTCAGAATTTAAAACTTTTTTGCTACAAATAGCCAAAGAGACATATTTACTCCAAAAGTTTTACAGATAGACAGTTCTAGCATAAACAGCAATCTTAATCTTATACACTCTACCACCCAGGTTCATTCCCACCATAGATCGATGTGTATATAATACACACGTAACTAAGTAACAAAAATCTCCAATGCTTTTCCCCTTTTTCCTTTAGAGAAATCAAACAGAACAACCAGAAGGCTGGATGTCTACATCTTTGACACAAAGGGCATAGCACAACCTGTGTACAACCCTGGTTCAGAGAAAGGGGTTGGTTGGCTTTATGGCAGCTGAAGCTCCCAGTAGAGCAACATCACCACACTCACCTCTAGTTCTTCACTGTCTTTGGGTTTCTCCTCAGAGGTCTGTTTAACAAAGTCAGGGATGAGAATTTCCAGTGTGGCCCGGGCTACGAAAAGAAAAAGCCTGAGATGAGGGCTTGCGCCCAAGGGGAAACCATGCATGCTGCCTAGCTTGCAGAGTGAGCTGCATGCTGGCTCTCACATGCTTGGCACAGAAGGGTGAGCAAGGGCCCAGGAGTAGCAATAGCATTTTAAAAGGTAGAACCAGGAGGGGATGAAAGAAAAAGCACACCCTGAAGGGCAACAGTGAGATAGGGTAGAAGAAGCTCCACAAGCCATGCTGGGGGTGTACATTGTTACCCTGAAATCCTGGTAGCAGAGGAGAAAGGAACTTACACCTGTGTTTTTAGAGGAATAACTTTAGCAGTGTGTGAAAAAATAGCTTGGCAAAACTTAGGCCCCACAAGGAGGCCTGACAGCACGCTGCTGCAGACATCCAGAACACACATGGACAGCAGATGCCATGAGCAGGGAGAGATGGCCAGATGCAAGGAACACTGGAGGAAGCAGATATAAGACAAAGCATGGGTGTGGTACCCACATGACAGGCTGATACCTACCACCATGGGCAAAGAGCACACACAATAGCCCATATGCTAATAATGGCTTTAGTCTGGTGCAGCAGAGCTTTGTCAGCAAGACATCCCAGAAAAATAAGTATGTAAAAAAGACCAGCCAGTGCAGATGTCTACAGAGTAGCTGGAATATGGGTGGAGAAAGCAAATTCCAGTACATGGGTAGGTGCAGGTGACCTTGTAAAAACAACCCAGGTATTTCCACTCCCCTGGCCAGGCCCTATATCAAAGGTTATCTGCTCAAAGCCTCATAACACCCAATTTGTGGAGGTGAAAGTCTTTTAGGCTGAATCTAAGTGAACAGCAAGGGCTAGAGGTCTAGCTCAGTAGTAAAGCACTTGCCTAATGTGTGAGGACCTCGGTTCGATCCCTACCTCCATGTCATTAATAGACTATAGGCCTTCCTGGAGACTGAGGCAGAGTATGCAAGCTTAGGACAGCCACATAGAGGGAAGGGCAGGTAGTAACATGATGCAGAAAGGTTTCTCATTGTCTTTAACATTTGACACTAAAATAAGCATCACAGAGGGACTCCCAATTTTTTTTTTAATGTTTTATTTATTATTTTTATTTTATGTGTATGTATGTATTGCCTGCACCCATGTCATGCAATGCCCAAGGAAGACAGAAGAGGCTGTCAGATTCCCTGGAACTGGAGTTATGGACAGTTGTTAGCTGCCATGTGGGTGCTGGGATTCGAACCCTGGTCTTCTGCAAGAACGACCAATGTTCTTAACCGCTGAGCCATCTCTCTAGCCCCTTTTGGTCTTTTTGAGACAGGGTCTCCCTATAGCCTTAGCTGACCTGGAACTCTCTGTGTAGACCAGGCTGACCTTGAACTCAGAGATCCGCCTGCCTGTGCCTCCCAAGTACTGGGATTAAAGGTGTATGCCACCATGCCCAGTGGGACTCTTAAGAGCAGAATATTCTCTCCCCATTCCCAAGACCCAGTGAGACTGAGAAAACTGGCATGCCTCCTATTCTGTACACAGTAGACCAGTTCTAGAAGACAACATGCTCATGGGATAAAGTTCAAAATTGGATGTGTGTGTGCCAGGGCCTAAAGTATACCTAACACTACAATGAACTACTCTACTCCAATGCTAGGCAAAATATCTTAGTCCAAGAATATGCAGATGACAAGGTTATGGCACAGTGGGTCTAAACAGAAAATACCAGTTTTCTAGGGATGCATACTCTGTGTGCAACTACTGTTTAATCCCCAATTTAGAGTCTGAAAGATTCAGTAAATGGTCCCTATAAATGTCAAAAACACTTAAAATAGTGACAACATGCCAATCTGCCTTTTCTCTCCTAGAATGCCCACATTTTGCTCAGTTTAAAAACAAACTTGTGCATACCCTACATCCCCCAGCTGGCTCTGGGAACACCCAAACTGTGTTCAGCTAAACAAGTACAGAAAACATAGGCCCTGTTGTCACTTAGTAGAAAGGTGGTCCTTTTAAGTCTCATTTTTTTTCTTTTTTGGTCTTTTTGAGACAGGGTCTCTTTGTACCCCCATGTGCCCTGGAACTCACTATGTAGATCAGGTTGTTCCCTGGAACTGGAGTTATGGACAGTTGTTAGCTGCCATGTGGGTGCTGGGATTCGAACCCTGGTCTTCTGCAAGAACGACCAATGTTCTTAACCGCTGAGCCATCTCTCTAGCCCCTTTTGGTCTTTTTGAGACAGGGTCTCCCTATAGCCTTAGCTGACCTGGAACTCTCTGTGTAGACCAGGCTGACCTTGAACTCAGAGATCCGCCTGCCTGTGCCTCCCAAGTACTGGGATTAAAGGTGTATGCCACCATGCCCAGTGGGACTCTTAAGAGCAGAATATTCTCTCCCCATTCCCAAGACCCAGTGAGACTGAGAAAACTGGCATGCCTCCTATTCTGTACACAGTAGACCAGTTCTAGAAGACAACATGCTCATGGGATAAAGTTCAAAATTGGATGTGTGTGTGCCAGGGCCTAAAGTATACCTAACACTACAATGAACTACTCTACTCCAATGCTAGGCAAAATATCTTAGTCCAAGAATATGCAGATGACAAGGTTATGGCACAGTGGGTCTAAACAGAAAATACCAGTTTTCTAGGGATGCATACTCTGTGTGCAACTACTGTTTAATCCCCAATTTAGAGTCTGAAAGATTCAGTAAATGGTCCCTATAAATGTCAAAAACACTTAAAATAGTGACAACATGCCAATCTGCCTTTTCTCTCCTAGAATGCCCACATTTTGCTCAGTTTAAAAACAAACTTGTGCATACCCTACATCCCCCAGCTGGCTCTGGGAACACCCAAACTGTGTTCAGCTAAACAAGTACAGAAAACATAGGCCCTGTTGTCACTTAGTAGAAAGGTGGTCCTTTTAAGTCTCATTTTTTTTCTTTTTTGGTCTTTTTGAGACAGGGTCTCTTTGTACCCCCATGTGCCCTGGAACTCACTATGTAGATCAGGTTGGCCTTGAACTCACAGGGATCCACCTGCATCTGCCTCTGCTGGGGCTAAACACAAGTGCTGGCAATCAAGGCATGCACCACCACGCCTGGCTTTTAAGTCTTTTTTTTTTTTTTTGTCTTTTTGAGACAGGGTCTCCCTGTAGCCCCAGCTGTCCTGGAATTCACAGAGATCTGGCCTGCCTCTGCCTCCCAAGTGCTGGGACTAAAGGCGTGTGCCACCATGCCAGGCTGGTCTCATTTTTTAAAAAAGGTTAACTATTTTTTAAATTATGTGTATGAGTGCCTGTGTGCCGGTTATGTGCATGAGTGCAGTGCCCAGAGAGGTCAGAGGCTTCAGATCCCCCAGAGCTGGAATTACAGGCATTTGTGAGCTGCACGATGTGGGTGCTAGGAACTGAACTTGGTTCCAGTACAAGAGCAGTACATGCTCTTAACTTGCTGAGCTATCTCTCCAGTCCCTAAAGTCTTACTTTTTACTCTCCCAGTTTACGTCTTTTTATAATAAGCATATTATTATTTTATTTTTTGGTGGTGTAGGGGATCAAACCCATTCTAAAATTATATCCCTAGTCTTTAGTTTTGAGACATAGTCTTGCTCTGCAGCCAAAGCTGGCTTCAAATTCATAATGCTCCTGTATCAGCCTCCCAAGTGCTAAGATTATAGGCATGTACTACTACTTTTTAAAAATCAAAGTAGGGGGGCTGGAGAGTTGGATCAGTGGTTGAGAGCACTGGTTGCTCTTGCAGAGAACCCAGGTTCAATTCCCAGCACCTACATGGTAGCTAACAACTGTCTGTAACTCCAGTTCCAGGAAAATCCAACACTCTCTTCTGATCTCCGTAAGCACTGCACAACAGAGCTACATTTACATACATGCAGGCAATATACTCATACACATAAAATTAATAAATAAAATATTTCTAAAAAAAAAAAAAATCAAAGTAGGGGGACTGGAGAGATAGTTCAGCTGTTAAGAACACTGGCTGCTCTTGCAAAGGACCCTGGTTTGGTTCCCAATACTGACGTGGCAGCTAACAACTGTCTGTAACTCCCATTCCAGGAGATCCAATGCTCTCTTCTGACCTCTACAGGCATTGTACAACAAGGGTACACTTACATACATGTAGACAATACATTCATACACATAAAAAATGAAAATAAATATTAAAAATAAAAAAGCCAAAAATCAAAGTAGAGGGCTAGAGAAATGATTCAGCAGATAAGAGCACTTGCTACTCCTCTAAAGAACCTGAGTTCGGCTTCCAGCACCCTCATCAGGTAGCTTACAACCACCTGTGACTCTAGCTCCAGAGGATCCAACACCATCTTCTGGCCTCCACAGGCACCAGCATGTAAAGGTGCACATACACACATGCATTAACAGAAATAGATATATAAATAAATCCTTTTAAAAGTACATTAAAATGCTTTAAATCAAAGTAGATTACATGAATACTTTAGAATTATCTAAATTAAGCTAGCCTCTGAGGCATGACTGTGAAGGAATATCTTGATAAGGCTGAGTTCATCCCATGAACTGGGGTCCTGGAATGAATAAAAAGTGAGCAGTGATGACTGTCTGCTTCTGGACTGCAGATACAATGTGACCAGCAGCCTCAGGCTCCTGTCACCATGATAGACTATACCCTTTAACTTCAAGCCAAAATAAACCCTTCATTTTTTAAGTTGCTTTTGTCAGCATATTTTATCACAGCAACAGGAAAAGTAACTAATACACCAAGCAAGCCACATTACCAGCTTTATTCTTCGCAAGTTTTTTGCTGCTTGCAGTTCCAGATCCGTAAGTCACACCATCAATGGTCACCGAGGCACCAAAAGGCTCACTTGGGTTCTCTTAAAATTAAAATTACTTGTTTTAAAACACACTTGCCAAGACATTAAAAGCATGCGCACACATAATCTGTCAGTACTGAGAAGATACCCCTGCAGAAAGCAAGTCTGTGCTTGTCTGAGATGTGGAAACAGGGCTAGGAACCAAAGGCAGCAGAGGGTACAGATAGGAAAATTGAGGGGTATGGGGGAACTATGGGAGAGTGAAACAAGGGAAGCAGGAGCTAGAGACAGAGCTGTCCAGTACAGGGACAAGGTAGGGATGACGTCTGTGAAAGACAGACACAACTGCTAGGAATTGGGAAAGCATAGGATCCTGGGAGCCAGAGAAACAGCAACCAAAAAAGAGTGACTCCAGGCTTTCAGCTTCCAAGGGCAACACTGGCCTTCACAAACTGTGCAGAGAATACCACAGAAGACATGGAAGGATGTATTTCGGACTAAGGTCCCTTCTACTACTGGGGGACAGAAGGGCCAAGACGACCGTGAAAGGACTCAATGCACAGTAGAAAGGCCTTTCTCACAGGCTATCCTTGACAGTAGTCAGGAGCCAGTCAAGGCAGACCAAAGAAGACAAAATAAGCAGGTTAAGGGAGGAAAACAGAACAAACCCGAAGGGAAAAGCAGAGCCACCCACCATCAGACAAGATACCTCTGTGCAAATAAGATGCCTAACTGTACCATGCTTTTTTCTCTGTCCTTGTCTTGCACTTCTATCCAGCCCAGTAGAGCCAACACACTCCCACCCCCCAGCCAGGACCAAAATGATGTATATGACTCTTAAGGATTACAATTGGAAAGGTGAACTTACCACATTCAAAGAAATTATAAACAGGGCGGACCTTGAGGACACGCTGCATGTACTCATGTAGGATGCAGACCTCAGACTTCCCGTTGGGATTGATGACAAACTCTGTGACAAGAAGAACTGTCTCAGCTAGTACCTAAGAAACTGCCCCAGTCACATTTCAGAGTCATTCATAGGGGCTTACCACTATAAACATAGCAATCTCTGCATTACAGAATATACACAAAGGTCGGGTGTGGTGGCTCATGCCTTTAATCCCAGCACTCGGGTGGCAGAGGCAGGTGGATTTCTGTGAGGTTGAGGCCAATTGGGGCCGTGGGAGGTCCTGTCTCAAAAAACAAAAAATTCAAAAAAAACCCCCAAACCAGAATACACACAAGCTTTCAATTAAGTGCAACTCCCAGGCATAGACTAAGCATATCAAAATAAAAATAACAACATGCCCTATCTGCTGCTGGTGACAGTTACAAGCCCAGTTTACCTTTCTTTGTGGGTGCATCTTGCACAGATAAAGTGATGAGCTTCTGGTTGGCTGGCAGGATGGGCCTCTCTGACTCAGCCTGCTTCCGCTTCATCTCACGGTTGAACTGACGCCTCTCAGCCCAAGTCCTGAATTTTTTCACAGTTACTTGCTCAAAGTCAAAACGTTTCTCCAGGTAGTTCCGAAATTCCTCCAGATCTGCCCAAGATATATCAGAGAAGCAAGTTACCAGATTTTTTTTCTTTTTTTTTTGTCTTTTTGAGACAGTATCTCCCTGTAGCCCTAGCTGGCCTGGATTCACTATGGAGACCAGGCTGGCCTTGAACTCAGAGATCCGCCTATGTCTGTCTCGAGTGCTGGGATTAAATGCGTGCACCACCATGCCTGGCTATTTTATTATTTTTATGTGTATGTATATATTGCCTGCATGTAGGTTAAGTGCACCCATGTCGTGCAATGCCTGCGGAGGACAGAAGAGGCTGTCGGATTCCCTGGAACTGAGTTACAGACAGTTGTTAGCTGTCATGTGGGTGCTGGGATTCACCCGGGTCTTGTGCAAGAACAGCCAGTGTTCTTAACTGCTGAGCCATCTCTCCAGCCCTCAGTTATCAGATTTATAATACAGGAGTTTCCCTAGTCCTCTGTATATATGAATGACAACTTTATCAAACAGGTCCAGGCTACCTGATACCTATTTCCCTTTCCTTGTGCCTTTCCAGAGTAAGAAAAAATAAAATCAAATAAAGGAAAAAAAAAGGTCATTCGGGCTGGACATGCTGGCACATGCCTTTAATCCTAGCACTGGGGAGGTATAGGCATGCAGAGCTCTGTAAGCCCAAAGCCAGTCTAGTCTACACAGTGAGTTCCAGGCCATCTGGGGTTATAGGAAGAGCCTATCTCCAAAAAAAAAAAAAAAAATTAAATCCTTTCACTACTATTTCAAATTATTCTACCAGGTCCTTCATAAACAGGTTCCTGGGAAATTACTTTATCTGCCTAAGAACAAGAATACAAAAATAATGTGAAAAAAGGGGACACTTAAACAAAATACACACACACATACACACACACACACACACACACACACACACACAGAGTAACAAGCACCTAACCAAGAGCAGGTACCTACAATGGGAGTTGCTACTACTAATGCTGTTATTATAGTATAGAGTCAAGGAAAGGAAGGAGTAAAAGGGTGATTTTATTTTTCGAGCGCTGAACCCAACAAGGACACTACTGCCACTTCTGTGACAATCTCCATCTTCCTTCTGGTTCTTTGAATGCAGTAACACATCCAAGTTGCCCCTTGCCTCCTTAGGGCCTCTGAGTTGTTGCACTTCTTCCCAGGTCACTTTCCCCTTCCTCAAAAACAACAGCTTCCCCTTCCCCATAGCTCTTTCAGGGTACCTCACACTCAAAAGTTTTAACAGACAGAGTAGCAACATATAGACAAGCCTAACTCCTGAAAACTGAATGTACTCTTGAAAGTGATCTGGCAAATGGACTAAAAGAGCTCTGCTACTACTGAAGAGAGCTAAGAGTTCATGGGACAGAACTAAGCTAAAGAGACAAACCAGAAATACAAGCACATAACCAAAAGACAACTACAGAACTCAAAAGAACTGTCCATCATTCCAAAGGCTGAGAGCAGGAGAAGAAATTGGGAGGCCTACTGGGCTATAGCAAGACACTGTCTCAAAAGCGGAAAAAAAAAAGGGGGGGGGCAGGGAGGAAGTAGCCAGAGAATAATACTGAATTCAAAGACTGCAGGGACACTCTAACCCCTTCAGATACATCTAAACAATGTCACAGGAGCACATCATACTGAAAAAGCAAGACCAGGAAAGATCACACATCCAAAAAGGCTAGTTGGCACTGCCAGCATTGTCTCTATTGCAGTTTCGGCCATTAAGACCTGCAGATTGTAGGCACTGGAACTGAAGCAGCAGCACAGACATGTTCTTTCAAAAGCAGGGAGATGGGCCTTCCTAGTCATGTGAATAGGCACAGGCAAAGAGTTCCTCACCAGACACAACTAGGAACTAGGAAGGATAGCATCTGATAAGAGGAATGAGATTCCAGGTGGCAAGGAGGGGAAAAAAACCTCCTTAGGAAACTTACCAACTGACTCATCTTTGCACACCTCAACTTTAGCCTTGACTTGTCCCAGGGCTCCAGGGGCTGCCTCAGCCCCCAGGGGGTCCTTCTCATCCAGGGGCCCCGAGTCTCCGCCCATGGAATCAGGCTCTTCCAGGGGGAAGTCCAGCTCTGCAGATCGACCCAGGGGTTTCAGAGGTGACACCTCCCCGCTGAGGGTGAGCTCAGAGATTTGTTCCCGTTCCTCATTGTCTTTCATTTTTTTATAATGCAGGCAAGGGATACTACTTAGAGGAGGATCGTGTTTCTGTGGACAGTGAAATTGTAACAGGAGTTACTGAGATGACTTTGAGTCTGAAAACCCGATGCATTCTCCAGCCTCTGCTTGACTACACTTCAACTCGTGCAGACAAGCACTGAGAACTGATAAGCCTCAACTCACAACGGATAACTCCCCTACCCGTATGCTTCCGGTTCCCAAGAAGTAGGGTCTGGACCACGTGACCACCCGAGACTCTCTGTGCAGATACACAGGGACTCCAGAGTTATGGAAGGTCATGATCCATCCATCGGGCAATGGCTCTGTAGGTGGACGGCCACGACCTGCACAGAACACAAAAACATCCTGCCATCACTTTATAAACATTTAGGACTGTTACATAACACCTCTTCCATATTTTTGTCTGCTTGTCTGGATGCTGTCAAAAAATCTACACTCGTGTCTGGTTGCTGGACCCCTACTCTACCTAGGATAACAGGGGTAATCTTTAAGTACAATCAGTGCACAAATAGCCCAAAACAGTGTTATACAAACACAAATCTCCACCCCAGATCTTGCCTCCACACTTGAAGAACACTGTGGAGACTAGATTTGTTCTGCTGCTCAGCCAAGGTAACATGTAACCCAGGAGCGAGTAAACATTGATGATAAACTGTACATGTATCATTCACTGTCTCAGTGACCAGGTACATGTTATTAAATAATACTACCTCACTAGGATGTGCAAGGCCTTGCTTTGATCTCAGCACCACCTTAAAAAGCAAATAGGGGACTAGAGAGATGGCTCAGCAGTTAAGAACACTGGCTGCTCTTGCAGAGGACCCAGGTTCAATTCCCAGCACCCACACGGGGACTAACAACTCTCTACAACTCCAGTTCCAGAGATGCTGTCTTCTGGCCTCTGGGCATTGCATGTGGTGCACTTACATATATGTAGGCAAAACACTCAAACACATAAAAAAAATTAAAAATATTTGTACCCAGATGTCTTCAGTGTAAATTCATCCACTGGAGTCTAGTCAGCCCATCTAGAGGTCTCCAATAGTACTTAATCTAGGGCCGGCCCACCACCCATTTCTCTCCTCCCCTCTGGGCCCTTGTTTAATTGAGTTGGCATGGGTTTTGGGCTTGATGCCACCATTGTCACAAGTTTACATGTGCAAGCTTCCAGTGGCATGAAATCCTCTACTTCCTTGTATTCATGAACCAGCCCAGCTCTTACAATCTTTCCACCCGCCTCTTCCACAATGGTCCCTGAGTGGTGGGTGAGTGAGATTCAATATAGGAGTCCTATTCAAGGGTACACACTCTGCAGTCTCTTGTTCTTTAAAACTTGGCTAGTTGTGGCCTTCTGTGTACATCACACTCCAGGACATCTGGGTACAAATGCTTGACTGGATAGGACTTAGCATGTATGGTGGAATACATGAGATCCAGTGGGAAGACAGGGAGGCATGGACGGGGTGTGGGGGGGTGTCTAAATTTGATTAAGAACTGTTGTACGAAATTACGAAAGCTCAATAAAAATATTTTTAAGAGCTGGGCATGATGATACACGCCTTTAGTCCCAGCACTCGGGAGGCAAAGGCAGGCGAATCTCTGTGAGTTCAAGGCCAACTTGGTCTCCATAACAAAACTAGCTCAGCTGTGGCTTAGAGGGAGACCCTGTCTCAAAAAGACCAAAAAAAAATTTTTTTAATTAAAAATAAATTAATACAGAGGCTGGAGAGATGGCTTAGCGGTTAAGAACACTTACTGCGACCCAGGTTTGGTTCCCAGCATTCACATAGTAGCTCACAACCATCTGTAACTCCAGTTCCCAGGAGATCCAATACCCTCTGCTAGCCTCTGTGGGCACCAGGGACACACGTACCATACATACATAAAGGTAAACATTCATACACATAAAAAATAAATTTTTGAAAAAGAAAAAAACCCTACAAAACAAAAAATTCTTTCACTGATTTTTTTTTTGGAGGGGGGGCTTTTTTTTGAGACATAGGGTCTTCCTGTAGTCATAGCTGGCCTGGATTGCTCAGAGATCCACCTGCCTCTGCCTCCTGAGTGCTAGGATTAAACATGTGCACCACCACAATGTCTAACCCTTTTGCTTTACTAGCAATTGTAAGCAAAGTATCAGATTTGTTTTCCACTTGCCACTCTTCTCTGACAAAACTATGCCAGGAAAAGGACAAAGACAAAACAATATTCTTACAGGTATTAGGACTAATATGAAATCTAGAAACTACAGAAAAAAACAAATGAAATATAAAACACTAGACATGATTAAAAGGAACTACCCCCACTCTGAGGACAGTGGCACCTCTAAGCCAGATCTTCACACAACCCCTGCCTGACCCTGGCACCCAACATAGAGCATGGACTGGGAAAGAAAACTACAGGTCAGAAGTGCACCCATGGGTGCGCCTCCCCCACCCCTGCCCCAGTAACTTGGCCAAAGAAGAGCTTTGAATAAACCTTGAGCTAACTCAGGAGAGGCAGCAAATAAAATGAGGACCTGAACACAACACAACACAACACAAGGTAGCCATTCATCTATGACATCATAACTAGCCAGTCTTTCTGAAGTACTGACAGCAGCTGCAAGCATGATATGCCTGCTGCTTGGGAGGTGAACAAGCCAGGTCTACTAACGCCCATAGGGCTGTTCAAGAGGCTCCTGAAAACTATAGGAAAAGCATAAAGCCAACCTTCCAGAGACACCAAGGTGAAGATCAAGTCACCTCCCCCAGAAGCTGTAGCCCAAGGTTCACCTCATCTACAAGTGCCTCTCCTCACATCTATACTGCTCAGCTATTGGCAATGTGCAGCAGCACATGGCACCAGGCCTCACAAACACACCCATCTCCTCAGTGGTTCAAAGAAGGCAATTTCGTCACATTCCACCTCATCTACCGTCTCCCAAAACCCTTGGGCCAGGGTCTCACCCAAGGGCCTGAGCCCCATGTCTTTCTTCAGGCCCTCTACTGACAATCCCTCTACTGATCCTGCTACCCTTATCAAAAGAGTCACAGATGCCTCTAAGTCACATAGAAACCCACCCTGATTTGTCTTACACTTCGCCTGCATTGATGACTGAGCCTTGCAATACAACTTTGGGCACCCACCAAATGCTCTCCCATTGTCACCAAAACCAAGTGAAAGTCCTGCTCCCTGTACCTCCAAAACCACCTCCACTTCTCTTCAAGGAGCTTCCACCCTGCCCCAGAGTGCACATGCCATGCTACAGCCCAGAAGTCACACTTTTCAACAAAACTCAAGTAACAATACTGGTGCCTTTCTGCCTCATTTGCAGAGGAAACAAAACTTGGACGGCAACCACCACCTGCCACTTCACCAAGCACATACCTCTGACCTTGGTCTCCATATATGCAAGCTATTGGTCTTATATTTTAGCATACACTGATGTATCCATTCAGGGATCCTCTACAGAATGCCTGCCCCTCTGTGGTTTCCATAGTACTTACCAAGATCTGCACCTGGAATAGATTTTGGAGTGCAGAATACAGTAACAATAGGAGACAAAGTGACCACATCTGAGTTCAATAAACAAGGCTGTGTTTATTAGCACAGTAAGGGACAGCAGCCTTCCCTCGGTACGGAGGCTACTGCAAGGGGCATAGGGACTGGTCAGTCTTATATAGGTGCAGCAGCTACAAGGGGATTTTTTGGAGGACAGGTGCTACAGGGGAGACAGAGGCTGCAAGGGAGACTTATTTTCAGCCGTTCTTGGGACTCGTCCACATGGCCGGTCCAGACACCCAAGCAGGGGGAAAGAGGAAGTTCCCGATACACATCTGGATGGTAGAGGGACCAGACGTCTATAGTCAGGTGTCCTATGTTGTGCCAATTTCCTTAACCTGGGCTATATGCCTGAGTGAGTCTTAGTGTTCTGTTTTTTTTTTTCATCTCCCATGGCTATCTATACTTAAAACATGTCTCTACCCAGACTGATGCCTGGCACCAGAGAGCTCCCAAAACATTCTTGGGAAGGAAACTGCACTTCTGATGGCTGGAAACACTCAGGACTTTGTGACTCACTGACTTACTTTTGAGCACTGTTTTAATCTTGGTCATCATTGGCTGCACACTTGTCTCTCCATCAGACTGATGATCACTGTCCCCCCCATATTTTTCCTCCATTCGCCTCTTCTTGGGTGCACAAAGACCTTCTTCTAGCAGAGCATCCACATCATTGTCAAAGTCATCCTGTAAAACAAGATGTTCAGATCCCACAGCCCTCAGGGTCCACACTTCTGCACCAAGGGTAAGTTTCACAAGGGCAAGGGAAGGCACAAAGAAGAGACCCTCAATGGGGTCTGGGTGTGCCCTGATGGTGTGTGATCATCTGAAAAATAGACAGGATGAAATGACAAGTGAAACCAACATGCCTAGTCCAGGTACACACCCAGCCAAGGAGGTTTCTCAATAGCACCTGCCAACTCAGGGTGGAAAGAGATGAGGCTAAATGTTTGTCACTTTCCATTAAGAAACTTTAAAAATGTAGACTTTACGTCTTTCTCTTTTCCATATTGTTATTTGTCCTCATATGGAGTTTTGCTTGTTTTTGTTTATTTCCCTGCTTTCAAAAGATGGAGCCACTCCCAAACCTCTCTTTGGGTTTTGCTCAGAGCACTCCATAGAAGGGGTCACCAACATACCTCATAGGAGAAATTCAAGGCCTCTTCATCCACTCTGTCTCTTTGAACGATTGCTTTAGCCGTGAACCCGCCTGCTCCTTCTTCATCTAGCTCCAAATTGTCAGTAAAATCTTCTAACTCATCGAGCACTGCATACTCCACTCTCTTTTCCTGATCCAGCTCATTCTCCTCATCCTTCTTATCTGCACTCTCACCCCCTATGCCTACCCCATTACCAACACTCCCGCCAAAGGGACAAGCATGCAAGTCCCCACTGACAGGACTAAGGAGCAGGCTACATTCAGCCCGAGAGCTGCGCTCTACTCCTGTGTACAGCACCTTCCTGTCCTTACTCCTGCAGCTCTCAGTAAAACTCACGCTAATCTTTACATCCTTAAGCAACTTAAGGTCAGGGGAGAACTTCCGGACCGCAGGTGCGTGCCGGGCGGTGCGCGGGCTGTGGCCACTACAGTTCGGGTCTATGAGGAGGCGGCCCTTAGAGAAGGATCCTTTGGAGAGAAGAGAAGCTCCGTAGAAGTTGAATGGGTCCTCGGCAGGGGGTTCGGACTGTCCATCACCACCAGAGCCAACGTCCATTACCTCTGCATCACTGGACGTTTGCAGGGGAGGTGGTGGAGACTGTTCATGGGGCAGCGCTTGGAAGGGGCAAGCTCTGTTCTCCATCATCGCTTCTCCTGCGGGCTCACGCGGGAGAGGAGAGGGACTCTCATACGTCTCCATATTATGAGCAGTTAAGACTATTTTAAAAGACCAGAGTTTTAAACCACCTTACATAAATCTATACTGCTAACATGCACAAGTCCGTCGAGACCCGGTGCCGTCCTGCCCACGCTGCACACACTGGCGGCTTAGTCAAGCTGGCCACATTGCTCTTTTCATTAATGTAGACAGCTTTTAGAACCACTGCCTCAATTATTGGAAATCACAATGCACTCAGCTTAAAAGATCGACGACTAAGTGAGTCTGTCTTCATGCCAAAGTGGCACCTTTCTTCTTCCACCTGTAAAGAAATTTAAAAATATCATCACAAAATGACAGAAACCTTCTACTTCTCTGGTACCATGTTAAAAGTCAAGTGCTATCAATGGTATAATAAAGGTCTAAGATAATACTGCCTTTAAGAGAGTCTTTTAGACTTCAGAAAAAAACTAACTTTACTATTTTTCTCCAAAATCTAAGTTTTAAATCCTAAGTTAGTTTATTAACTATTCACTTTAATTCCCATTTCAAAAGCACAAAGATAAACTCTTAGGATCAATAAGGATTTAAAAAAAATAACTAAACTTCCCCACAGCACTCCCCTAACTTAGCCTACTGGGTAAGCAAGCATGCAGCAGGAGGCTGCCCTTTCTGGAACACACATAAAGTGCATGGGATCCCTCAGGCCATCAGAGGGACATCAATCCACTCACCTGAAAGGGCTGGGTCAGTCAGAGGGCGAGCGTGAGACCCTCAGCTCAACTCTGCAGCACTAGGGACCTCAGAAGTATGGGTCAGGCACTCTGCCACCCAAGGACCCCCTCTCTGGGCCCACAATGTGGCATGTGGACAGGACAGTGATGCAGCGTGCTGAGGTCACCAGGGGTGGAAGCATAGGTCCTTTCCCTTAGAGGGAGGGAGGGTAGCTGTTGGGAAGGGAGCCTGCTAACGCTGGGAGGTAGGCAGGGCAACACAGTAGAAGCTAGAGCCAAGGCACAGAGTCCTGGGTGCCACCTGGAGCCTGGCTCCATCTGGAGGACAACAATGAGCTACCTACCAAAGGGGAAACAACTCTCTTTATAAAGAAGACTCACAGCCGTGCGAGGCATAGGTGACTGCACCAGGTGTTGGGACAGTTCTCCAGGACAAAGGTGTAGAAGCAGCTCTGGAGACAGTAAGTGTCATAGAATTGACTATGCTTGCAGACCCTATGGGGGTGGGAAGCAGAGAAAAGAGGGCGGTGAAGGAGAAGGCTTCTCCCCTGCAGACATACTCCGGTACCTAGGCAGAAGCCTGAAAAGGATAATGGAGGAATGCTCCAGGCAGACCTGTTTCACAGGTACACAGGCCACACAGCTCTGGAGCCTAGACTGGCCTGAAGAGGTCTGGTGGGGCAAACCTCACTAACAAAGAATGAAGCACCAAAACCCTAAGAAGGAGGTGAACACTGAGGGAAAGTTATAATCCTAGGAAGCATTGCTACAGAGAATGCTTGAAAAGATGGGACAACATGACAGAGAAGGGATATCAGAGGCTGGCCCGAAAACCAGGTCTGTAGGAAGAAAGGCTGTTGGCAGAAGCACATGCACACACATACACTCATGTAGGTGCATGCACACAAACACATGCATGCATACTCCATCATGCACAGAAACATGCTCAAGTCATGCATACTGTTGCAGACATACACAGGCACCCATGCTCATAGGTGACCACTCAGTTGCACCTACATAACTCCTAAGACCCCAGAGAGGACAGGAGACAGCAGGCATCATCTATTTAAGCTTACAGTAAAGGGATAGAATGTGATGGTTATCTTGCTGAAGATACAACATAAAAGCCAGACACTTGTTTAGGTTAAATTAAACCACTTTAATATTCACTGACAGTTTACTCTGAGAGGTGCTACCACTAACAAAAAACAAGGTCTCCATAACCTAGACACAACTGAAAGGTCCAACTACACTATCACTTTATTTCCTAGATCCTAGGATGGCCTAACATTTCTGAATTCAATGAGAATTTAACAAAATACCTCTCCAGTGGTGTTTCCATTAAAAGTGCTTAGAAATGATTGAGAAGAGCAGCAATCACTAAGGAATCTGCAGTTGGGTGGTCAAGAAAGAGACTACAGGGGCAAAGGACAGTCTCCTGGCAACAAAAGACCACTGCAGAGGACAGAGAGGTCAGCATGCTTAGTGCTAACAGACCTCAAATAAAACCAGGCCAGGATCTGGCATATGTGCAGAGACCCTAGAAGTCAAATCTGTAATTCTGAAATAGAAAATGTTAATGTGGCTGGGCATGGTGGCACACACTTTTAATCCCAGCACCTAGGAGGCAGAGGCAGATGATCTCTTTGAGTTCAAGACCAGCCTGGTCTACATAGCACATTCCAGGCCAGTTGGAGCTACAGAGAAACCCTGTCTCAAAAAAGAAAATGTTAATGTAAAGACCCAAGGAGGTGAGGGTTGGAAATAAACAATGGTAGAAGATGGAGAAGCATGCAGCATGTTAAAAGCTAAGCAGCATCCAGTATAAAACCAGAAAACAAAGACACTAAATGAAGGTGCTAATAGGTAACTAAGGGGCTTTCCAGAGCTTACACAGCATAGGTGGGGCCCAGAAGCCCTGGGAAGAGAGAGCATACCCCTGCAGGAGCAAGAAAGTTGTCTAGCTCATGGGATCAGCAGTGGGCAGTCCTGGACAAGTTTCTTACTCTCCCTCTGTTAAGCTTTCTGAATTCATTAATCAACTATTTGCTAAATGCCTTCCAGAAGGTACACACATATACGTTAAGTACACGGCAGATAAAACCCCTGCCCCAGAGAGCTCACATACCAGTGGGGAGTTGCATAAATAATAAAAGCCATCTACCATGTCACATGCTGAGTATTCAGGGTGAAACAAAGCAAGGAAAGAACTGGGGAGCAAGAAGGACCTTCCAAAAGGGTGACCACACAAGGCCTGAGAGTCAATATTCACCTAAAGGTGAAACAGAGCCAAGTGGGTAGTAAGGATAAGAGGATGATTCTAAAAGACATGAAGGAAAAAGCAAAGGCCCTGCGGTAGAGACATGGTATGACCAAGCTAGGGCAGTGTGCTGAGGGAAAGTGACAGTAGGCTAGGTCAGCAAGCTTCCATTTTTGTCTTGAGAGACAGCTCACTGGACAGGGGTCTAAAGAGTGGTATCAATGATCTATGGATAGCAATGGCAGCCAACCCTCACACAGGCTCTATTCCAAGCACTTTATGCAAATCACCCAGTTCGCTCACAACCCAGTGACAAAAAGGTTACACACAAAAATGTTAAACAAGTTGCTCAAGGTCACACAGCTAGGATGTGGTACAGCTGTTCTGCCACAAAGACAGGCTGGCTGGAGTCTGTTGCTTCAGCTTCATGCTATCTTGCAATTTAAAGAATCACTGTGTGTCCAGAAAAACTAGGAGAGGGAGAGTAGGGACCAAAGTTGAGAGGAAAGGTAGGAACGAAAAGGCTCACCAGTTGCTTGGACCAGGACATTAAGTTGGAGGTGCTGGAAAATAGTCTGCTGTTGGAAACAAGTGGCAGGGCTCCCTGAGAAATGCATGAAGGCCTAAGAGAGGGAACAAGGTGACTTTCGACAGGTGGAAGGATTTTTTGCCATGGACAGAGCCTAGAATCTAGCTGGGATCAAACTACTTGGTATCAAAGTAATCCATGGCGATGTAGGAGAGACAACTACCAGTATGAAGCTGGAGACTGGAAGGGAGGCCAGGGATGGAGATGAACACATGAAAGATGCAAGGAAAGTTGACATTACAGCTAGAAAACTACATGAAATCACATGGGAGGGGGGCAATGACAAGAAAAGGCCCAAAGTGGGCAAGTCAGTCAAAATCATGTTTCCCACCCCAAGATCAAGGTGAGAGTCCAGCTCCACATTATGCCTGGCCATGCGGTGTTCCAAGGGTAGCCCTCCAGCCCTTCAACTATACGGTTCTTCAACTGATTGAAACTGGGACACAAATATTACCTTGCCAATTGGACTGTGAGCAAGCAACAGACCCACAGATGACTCCCCTGGACCCTAGCACAGGGCTTGCCCAACACACTTGGACAACCCCGACTTGCTGGGTTGGCAGACATAGCTGTGGTGACCAGCGCTATCACTGATGCCTCCTGTCCAACCCAGAGGCAGTATGACCTCATCCACTCCTTTTGTCACCCTGCAAAAGGCTCACATTCTGTGCTTACAGGCTGCATTCACTTGGTCAGCCATTCACTCCCTTTGGCCACTCTCAAGACTGGGAAGTCTAGTTTACTGGCGAGCAAACAGTGAGCCCTAGCCTAATGACCGGCCTCCAAAAGTCAACAACCCGAGATGGGACATCTCTGCATCCAGCAACGAGGTACATGCAAACATGCAAAATGGCAAATCAAATCCCTACCATGGGCAACCAAGTCCACTGGAAGATGCTATTTGACAGGTATCGCTGTCAACAGGTTGCCACTTCTCATTTATTTCTACCATGTTTATTGTTACAGTCAAACCACATCCTGATAAGCTACATGACAATCCACGGGCATCTGGTGGAGACTTGGGCGCTTTCTCAAGATTTTTAACAGTCAAAACTGGTAGAGCACCAGGGCAAGCACTGTCCGTGTCCACACCTTTCCCGCCTGAAGGCGATGCTACGGCTTCGGGCCCAATGGGCAAGGGGCTTCGTTGCCCAGGCCAACGCCTGGTTCCGAGCCCGATCCGCAATCGCGGCTCCCGCCCCGCGCACTCCGCTCCCGCCGGCCGCCGCACAAAGGCCGGGATTCCGCGTGGCCCAGCCCGCCTCGCGCGCCCCGCCCCGAGCCCTGGCCCGCGGCCTCGCCCGGGAAGGAGGGAAGAGGAAAGGACGCACCCTCGCACAGGCCGCGGCGCCCGCCGCCCGCGGGGCGCCCCACGCGCCCCGCACCTACCTGTGGCGCCCGCGACCTGCCCGAGCCGCCCGCAGCCCGACCACAGCGGGAAGACCCTCACCGCCCCGCCGCCGCCGCCACCAGGAAGGGGCTCCCAGACGCTCGGGTCCTCGAGACCTGCCTGCCGCGCGGGGCGAGCGGAAGGCGGGCCTTACCGGAGCGCGGCCAATACCCGCGCGCAGCCGCCGTGCATTGGGAAGGAGGGGAGGAAAGGACGCACCCTCGCACAGGCCGCGGCGCCCGCCGCCCGCGGGGCGCCCCACGCGCCCCGCACCTACCTGTGGCGCCCGCGACCTGCCCGAGCCGCCCGCAGCCCGACCACAGCGGGAAGACCCTCACCGCCCCGCCGCCGCCGCCACCAGGAAGGGGCTCCCAGACGCTCGGGTCCTCGAGACCTGCCTGCCGCGCGGGGCGAGCGGAAGGCGGGCCTTACCGGAGCGCGGCCAATACCCGCGCGCAGCCGCCGTGCATTGGCGCAGCCGGGGAGCGGGCTACGGAGGCCGCCAATCGGCGGCGCAAGGCGCGCGCGGCCCAATGGCTAGGCGCAGTAGCGCGGCTGCGTGGGCGGAACCAGGGCCCCCAGGCCTCGGCCTCGCTAACGGTCGCCGCCAGGGCGGGGCTCGGCGCTGGGAGGGCTGCGGCCGTGGGGAGCGCCGGGAGAGAGGAGCGCGGGGGCTGCTGGGAGTCGGGGAGCCGGGGCGCCGGGAAGCGCGGGAGCGCGGGGGAAGCTGGGAGCAAAGCTGGACGCACGCCGCCTCTGGTGCGGGCGGTGTCAGAGGCCATTGCACACCTTGACGTTGCACCATCTCCGCTGGAAGCATAGTTGGACAATTTTTTAAAATCAACTATGCTTAACTGTCACGTGGTATTTGCTAATGACACCGGAGTTAGACCAAAAGCTCCGGCTCAGGGTAGTACCCAGGACTAGGCTGGGCCACCCATCCCAAAAAAAGCCAATGCACCGTAGTGAAGGCAGGAAATGAGTTTTATTCGCAGCATCACTGTATCAGGAAGGACTAAGGTCTAATGACCGAAAATCTATTCACTGTGCTTACAACATTCTTGGTATATACAAGGAAGAGAAGCAGGCTAGCGTTGGGGGTTTCCATAGGAGTAGTACCAAGGGTTCTTGCTTAAGTTTTGATCCTTTGTATTAAGATATTCATCAATTCTACATTTTCTGACATCCTAGGTAACAATACGTAAGACTCAGGTAAACTCTGAAGAAAGGAAATTGAATAGATGGGCTCAAAATGGAGTTAACCAGGTCAGTGCCTGAGTCCTCCAAATCCTACTGTCAAGCCACCACTCCTTTGCTATGAGCCTGGGACCAACATAGGAAGGGTCAGGATATACTTAGGTCCAGTGCCTCAAAAAAGGGCAGCAGCCTTCTTTAGGTTCACATTCCAGTCAATAAATGTAAAGAACGATAAGAGAATGTCTTCCGTTGGGCAAGCAATTCAGTAATTGCTGCTGGACACAAAACTCTTGAGTGCTACAGAGAGCTAGAAAATGAAAATTAAGTTGCTTGGGGCTTTAGGAATTGAACTCAGGGAATTGAACTCAGGGTCTTGCCCACATCAAGCCTGTGCTCAAGCCCTAAACTATTCCTCCAGAAATGACTCTGTGTTTGTGTGTGTGTGTGTGTGTGTGTGTGTTTTAACAGTTGCAAAATGTCCCCCCGAAGGTATTTAATAATTGCAAAGGGGAAACTTTAGCTTTACAATGGATAGAAACCTAGGTGAGTCCACTTTAAACAAGATCACCAGCATGTCCAAACTTATATTGTCAGTAATTGCATTGGAGCCTGAGACATAGCTCAGTAGGTAAAAGCACTCGCGGCCATGCCAGACAACCTGAGTTTGATCCCCAGGACCCACAAGGTGGAAGGACTGAACTGACTCAGGTTGTCCTTTGACACAGGTATGCTGTGGCATGCACACCCCTTCCTCATTAACAAATTTTTTAAAATCTTTTTTGTTGCTGTTGAGACAGTCTCACTAAAGAGCACTGGCTGACTTATTATTTGCTAATGTAGACCAAGTTAGCCTGGAACTCAGAGATTTGACTACGTCTGCCTCTCTGAGTCCCAGGATTAATGGTTTATCACACAGCTCCTGGCCCAAAACAATTTTTTAAAGGTGCAATGGGGCCAGGCATAGTGGCACATGCCTTTAATACCAGCACTCAGGAGGCAGAGGCAGGCAGATCTCTGTGAGTTCAAGGCCAGCCTGGTCTACATAGTGAATTCCAGGACAGCTGGGACTACAGGGAGACTCTGTCTCAAAAAGACAAAATAATAATAATAATAATAATAATAATAATAATAATTAAAGTCTGGTGATTAGTTAATAGTATTCCAATGACAGAAGAGTCCTTACTTGGTGAGCTTTATCCAGGCTCATTAAATCTTGTCTAGGTCTATTTTCATTCTTCCTTGTAAATTCCAGTCTTAGCAAAGAATTTTGCTTGCTAAATTTTAATTATCAACTTGACAGACCCTAGAATCACCTAGAAAACAAACATGTGACACACCTGTGAGGAATTATCTTGATCAGGTTAGCCCTACAGCTGCTTGTGAGGGAAAATCTTGATTAGGTTAACTGATGTGAGAAAAGCCAACCTAATAGTGGGTGGCACCATTCTCTGGGCTTGCAACCTGGCCTGCATAAACTAGAGAAAGCTAGCTGAGCACCAGCATTCATCTCCTTCTGCTTCCTGATAGTGGATGCAATGTAACCAGCTGCCTCAAGCTCCTGCCACTATGAATTCGAAGCCATGATAGACTGTACTCTGCAACTGTGAGCCAAAAACACAAACCCTTATGTTGCTTTTGTCAGGGCATTTTTATCACAGTACCTGAGAAGGAACGAATACACAATACACCACCTCAAATCTTTGTTATCTTTCACCATTCTCCTGGCATGTCTTCAGCAGGAACCTATTGTTTGTGTTTATCTGGAGCCCCCCTTTGTCCCAGTGTTTCCTCTTAGCAATCTCCCATTCACTCAGCTCAACTCATCTGCAAATTATGTCTCACACGTGCTGTCCAGGGCTGGGTGTCCCTTTCTCCCTGACTGCAAAAATCTCACTTCTGTGGTCTCTATACTTATCCAAGGAGTTCTAAATAAAGTATTGAATCACTTTTTTAAGAGTATTAGAAGCTGACGTTCTTTGTCTTTTTGAGACAGGGTCTCCCTGTAGCACCACCTGGCCTGGAACTCACTACATAGACCAGGCTGGCCTTGAATTCAAAGAGATCTACCTGCCTCTGCCTCCCGAGGGCTGTGATTAAAGGCATGTGCCACCACACCCAGCTGAAGTTCTTTAAAAAAAAAAAAAAAATGAAAGCTATACCCGTGTTAAAGATTTGAAGAAGTCAAATGACTGAACTTCATGATTACAGAAACTTAAAATATAGAGGAATAAGAGCCAGATTATCTTTGGCTAGTTTTAGTGTCCCATCCATTGTCCATCCCTGTGTTTGACCTAACATCCTCTGACTAGCAAAACCTTTAACATACAGTTTTAGCAAGCTACTATCTTCTATTAACCCAAAAGCAGCCATGTAAAGCTCCACTTTACTGTAGCTGCCTACCTGTGGTCTATCAATGTATTTAGTAAATGTCTTGATTTATGACTTTCTTTGTTCTGTAATAAAATCTCATGTAACCACTTCTACAGTGGAACATGTCTTTTTGGGCAACCGGATCTGTGATCCCAGGCTGCAGTCACTCTTATTTGGATCAAGAAAAAATATACTGCCTGAAATGAAGAGAATACTCTTGCTGATTACTTGGAGGAAAAAAATAAATATACTGGGCTGGAGAGATGATGGCTCAGTGGTTAAGAGCATTGGCTGCTCTTGCAGAAAATGAGGTTCCGTTCCTAGCACCCACATGGCAGCTAACAGCTGTCCAGAACTCCAGTTCCAGGGGATCTCAAGTCCTCTTCTGGCCTCTTGGAGCACTGCACACACAAGGTACATATAGGCAAAACATTCATATACATTAAAAAAAAAAAAAAAAGTCTCTTGCCAGGCCTGGTGGTACATGCTTTTAATCCCAGCATCGGAAGGCTGGGGCAGGTGAATCTCTGTGAAATTGAGGCCAACCCCGTCTACATAGTGAACTCCAGGCCAGCGAACTCCAGGCCAGCTGGGGCTGCAGGGAAACCATGTCTCAAAAACAAACAAACCCAGAAACCAACCACCACCACCACCACCACAAAAACCCCTTTATTTCCTCTTAGGTACAAACTGTGTTTTTGTGTTAATTTTTGGCACCTGAATGTGGGACCCAGGGATGATCAACTTTTACCAGAGGAGTTGATTCAAGCATGGGCCTTTCTGCCCAACAGTCCTACACTGCTTCCTTGGGTGGATATTGACAAGCTCTTTATGAGGCTTAGCTTTCCCTTATTTTAGTCAATATCAATCAGTTTATTCTGAGCTGGTGGCTTGGATACTATCTTGTTTGAATACATATTTTACTTTTAGAGCATTTATTTTGAGAAAGATGTGCACCACTATGCCCACCATATGGTTTTGCTTTCAGCATGATCACTAACTTATTGGTATTCAAACTTTTTTCCCTGCCACTCTACCAGTATTGAATTCTGTATTTTTGTGACCTCTCCTCAATTGCAATCTTGTTGCTTCTAGTTTAGGAATTCTGTGATTGTCTGATCATAAAGATGCCAGAGATAAGAGGCACTTGTTCCCTCCAGCCCAACAGGACACAGGTAACAAGGGGAACACTCCATGATGAATAGCCTCTTCACAGGGAACCCTTAAAACATACCCCATTACCAAGTTAGAAGGAACTTTTTTGGCTCAGCAGGGTCAACACACAGAAGTGCTGAGCAGCAGTCTTGAGCTCACTTATGTTTCTATAAACCTTCAGGAAAAGCCTGAGACACCACTGGAGAAACCAACCTGGGAATGAACGCTGAATTTCTAAAGCCACATACAAATCTGAAGAGACACAGACCCCAGCCAGCATACAGAAGCTTGAATTTCAGGAGAAAATAGGTAATAGGGTCAAGGAAGTTGGAAATGTTTGGAGAAAAAAAAACATTTGGTACTCCAGTTGGTTTTATGTTTGATAGTTATGGTAATTCAACTTGCAAGTATTTGGAAATATATATCTTTAGA